TTCTGTTGGTATTTATCAATTTATAGTTACATAAATTGTTCCCACATCCGGGTTTTCGTATTAATTTGCTGATACCTTTATTATTTCATTTATCATATGCTATTATAGCTTTGGGATACATGGTCCCTGAGTGTGTGGTAACCACATCTTCTTCATCTTCATCTCCAGTGTCTTGCAAATATTAGCTCTTTTTTTTTAAGATTTTATTTTTAATCCATCTCTACATCCACGTGGGACTCGAACTTACAACCCAAGGATCAAGAGTCATGTGCTCTACCAACTGAGCCAGCCAGGCGCCCCGCAAATATTGAATTTTTATTGAACATTTGGTAGGGAGTTTATCGATGTAATGCTTTCTTTCTTGATCCTTGAACTGTGGGTGCCAAAGTTTGAAATGTATAGACCTTAGCCTAAACACATCTGTATTTAATTCCCAAAGCAAATTTGGGAGATGAAATATCTTGTTTAATTTTCCTCATCACCCAAATACTCCTTTTTACCTGGGACCTACTTGCTTTTTAATTACACTTCCATTTGTCTAATTTAGCCTGAGAGGACTGTTCATAACTCGGATCCACAACCAAAGATAGAACTAACACTTCTGGGTGCTCTCGGTCAAAAGATTTCCTGGCAGAACAATTTCTGGTTGTTACAAATGGAGTGAGAGAAAGTTCTGATATGTGCCAGCTAAGGGCATGTAGTAGAAATAGTGGATGCCTCCAAATGGCCATAAAACAAACTCTGTGTGGTTCTAAAGTCTAGGTGTTTAGGCCTTCACCTTCTTAACCAAAGAATACAACTGTGTTCAAAGGCATCAAGACTTTATCTGAAACCCAAATCCACAATCACAAAGGTGACAGGGTGAGTATTTTGAGTATATTTGGCCTGAAAGGGCCAGACCAGCTTAGACATGTGTGTATTTTTTTCTGAAAAACTCTTCAAAGCTTTTTTTTTTTTTTAAAGATTTTATTTATTTGACAGAGAGAGCACAAGCAGAGGGAGAGAGAGGGAGAAGCAGGCTCCCTGCTGAGCAAGGAGCCTGATGTGGGACTGGATCCTAGGACCCCGGGATCATGACCCGGGCCGAAAGCAGCCGCTTAACCGACTGCGCCACCCAGGCGTCCCTTCAAAGCTTTTTTTTAAAGATTTTATTTATTCATTTGAGAGAGCAAGTGAGCACGTGTGAGCAGAGCAGAGAGGCAGAGGGAGAGGGAGAAGCAGGCTCCCCGCTGAGCAGGGAGCCCGATGCAGGACTCAATCTCGGGACCCTGGGATCATGACCTGAGCTGAAGGCAGACGCTCAACCGACTGACTGAGCCGCTCAGGGGCCCCAAAACTTTTATTATGGACACGCTCGTTCCTTCTTAGGGAGAAGCGAGTAGAAGCCCCTGTTGTTGGACTGCCACCTCCAGGAGGAGTTCCACTACCTCTCCAGTTCCAGTGTCCCTGCAGGGAAGTAATTTTCCACTTAGAAGCTCAGCTTGATCTTTCCTAGTTTCCAGCCCACCTTCCCCTCTGGGAGAAAATCGGCTGAGCCACTCTCTGTGGTCTCCTCCAGCGGGATTTGATGTGGGACCTCATGCTCAGGTGTTCCTCCCATGATGCTGAGCTTGTGCAACTCTTTCCTGTGATTTCTGCACCCATTTGTATTGCCCCCTGCTCCCCTAAAGCCCTTTCTGGCATGTCTGGGCTTCTGTTTTCATCCACACTCTGAATTCTTGGTTTGGGACTCTCCCATGACTATCGAGTTTTCCTCTTATTCTGAATTACTGCATTTCTCTCCTTGGGGAAGGGAATCTTGCCAGGGGCTGGAACTCTGGGGCAACTCAGGATGATTATGGATGGATTACCTAGTCCTCCAAGTAACAGTCACCCTATTTGTCAAATGCAATCATCTGCCAGAGAACCCTAGGACTTCTAACCCCATGGACCACCATTCATCTGAACTCTGCTTTGGGATGGCCCTTTCCTGGCACCCTACTCTTCATCATGTACTAGAAGAGTGATCCTTGTAAAGGTTACTTCAGGTCATGTCGCTCCTCCATGCAAAACCTTCCAGTGGCGTCAACTTCACTCTGAATGAAACACAGAGGTCTACAACTCTAAGAGATCTGTCCCTAGCCCCAGAAGTCCCATCTCGGACAGCCTCAGACAGAGCCAGCTTGCTGGTCCCTCAACAGACAGCCCCATCCCTGACCCAGAGTCTTTGCCTTTGCTAATGCGTCTGCGGAGCACAATCCTGCCTCATGTGTTTGTAGACGTCAGTCCTTCACTCCTAAGTCAGCGGCTTAGTGACTCACTCTTAGTGAGTCCTTCCTGGTTACTCAGTTTAAAATTTCAAAGTATGCTCTTCAACTTTTCCTCCATCCCCACTCCCTATTTCCCCATTTCTCACTGATTTTTCTCCTAACCCTTAGGACCACCTGACATACTATATATTTTACCAACTTTTTTAAAGCTTTTATTTATCTGAGAGAAAGAGAGAACAGACGATGGGAGGAGGGGGCAGAGGGAGAGGGAGAAGCAGACTCCCTGATGAGCAGGGACCCCGACTCGGGGCTCGATCCCAGGACCCCAAGATCACAATCTGAGCTGAAGGCAGACATTTAACTGACTGAGCCACCCAGGTGCCCCTTACCAACATATTTTGTTCATGGTCTGACTCCTCATCTAGAATGTAACCTCCATAAAGGCTGGGATTGTTGTCATTTTTTTCCCTCTTCTATTTGAAAATATTTACTGAGTAGGTATCTAATAAGTATTTGTTTAATGAATGCATGAATGAGGGTTTATTTTTGAGGTGATAAAAATGTTCTAAAATTGTGCTGATGGTTGTACATATCCAAGAATATACTAAAGACCACTGAACTATACACCTTAAAGGAGTGAACTGCATGGCATATATAATAAAGCTGTTGAAGAAAGAGAGAGACAGTACAGTATCCCAGTCATTGTAATGAAGGAGTTGGCTGTGCATGTCCTGTGTGAGTAGATATGAGGTCATTATGATAAGTTTGGTTTGAAATCTGATTTGCCAGAGGTATCTGCACAATGGTTAGAAAGGAGGGCCTCCAGAGTCAGAGGACCAAGGTTCAAATCCCAGCTTCATCATTTTCTAGTTGTGAATTGCTCCGTTTTTTATTTGTAAAATAAGCTGACAATAATACTGAACTCCAGTGGCGGTTGTTGTAAGGATAAAACCAGACAATTTCTGTAAATGGTTTAGCACAAGGTATGGCCCGTATGGTGAATGCTTAATACATGGTTATTATTTTAATTTTTATTATTGTTGTTATTTTCTGGAGTACTACGGATGAGGTACTGGAGAAAATCAGATGGTGGTCGTGGTAGCAAGGTCTCAAAACCATTATTTCTCACTAAGATTTACTTTGACTTTCTCTGGCCTATCAGGCGATCCCTTCCTTACACTGAACCTGATCTCAGACCTACCATTCCTTCATGGCTCAGATCTTATTTCAGTGGTTCACATATAAGGCAGCGCCCCCCCCCACCGCTCCAAATCAAGTGGATACTGTTAGAAATAAATCCTCAAGCCTTACATTTAGCAATCAGGCAGCAGTCCTCAAAGTGTGGTCCTGGGACCTCAAGCATCAGAATCACCAGCCCTACAAGAGGTCCAGTGAATTGGAAATTTGGAGCAAGGAAAAACAATCTGTGTTTTAACAGCCTTCCGAGTGATTCTGATGCATGCTGAAGTTGAAAATAACCGGCCAAGTGGAATCTGATGTTTGATAAGCTCTTCACATGACTTTGGCCTACTCATTTGCATATCATCCCTGGGGAACTGGCACTAAGTCAACAGCATGACACTGAATCACCTAGTTTGCTGTGATGGCTAAACCATCCACCAATGGCTAAACCACCCACCCATCTCCAAAGCAGAAACATAAAAACACATACAAACTCTGGCTACAAAACTTCAATTTCTATTAGTTTACTCATTTGTTTTGTTTGGGGCACAGGCTTGTTTTCAAAGCTACTTTATCATTTGATCATTTAATCTGTCACCAAATATTTATCATGACCTCAAGGCATCAACAACAGTTGTGACAACCGTGGAGAAACCCTTTTGGAGGACAAAACTGATCACTAAGAGGGACTACGGTATTTCCTTCCACAGGGGGCCTCAGCAATTGGCTAGACAATATCCCAGACTGACCAGACACTCTTCTAAATGTAGCAGAGTAGACAGTATTGTGTAGTGCCTGCAAGGCCCATGGACACCAAAAATAGTGAATATTTATTTGTAGCATGTTGTTAATTTTCTTGAATCAAAATAAGCATTGTTTTTTTTTAATTCCTTGTGAGAGTTCAAAGATTCTCCCCCCAAAAACTATAATAACCCCAAAATAAGTTAGTGAAAATAAAACAATAAAACATAGCATCATTGGGGAACAGAGAGGAGCTTGGTGAAGATGCTGGAACAGTGGAGCTTATAAAATATTAGTGTGGCAGACACTAGGTGCCCTTATGCAATTTCAAGTTCTAAGAAATTATTTTGTTGCTTTTTAAAGCCCAGGTACGGGGTTTTGATTGTGCTTTTAAGTTAAGCATGCATTAAAGCACACCACAATATGGATCCGAGAAATGCACCTTACCTCTCTCTATAACCTGGCATCAAGATAAGATTATTGGCTAAGGAAGCCAGGGGAAGGGGCCAGCCAGACCCGCCACTGTCTCTATTTTTTTTTTTTAAGATTTTATTTATTTATTTGAGAGAGAGTGAGTGAGGGAGAGAGAGAACAGGAGCAGGGGGAGGGGGAGGGGGAGAAGCAGACTCCCCACTGAGCAGGGAGCCTGACTGGGGGCTCAATCTTAGGACTCCAGGATCATGACCTGAGCCGAAGGCAGTCGCCCAACCGACTGAACCACCCAGGAGTCCCCACTGTCTCTCTTTAAAGTTATCCAAGAGCATCAAGAGTTTTCCATAGAAAAGAGCATTCCAGCTATACAAACACAACAGCATTTCTCGGGCTTACCAGTTTAATATGTTCTCGCTTCTGGTATTTTTCACTATAATACTGCTCTTGTCGAAGATTAAGCAGCTGCTGCTGTTGTTTGTCCTTCAAGTCTATTAGCTTTTGGGTCATTTCGGCATCTAGGGCAGCAAGATCTTGCTCAATCGTTGATGAACCATGGTCAGGACTGCTGGGATCTGATCTGCAGAGACACAGAGCTTGACTCACAAAACAGGCGGGTCATAACAAGGTGGAGGGAACATTGCATACCACAGTTCCTCCTAGATAGAGTGCTGTGTTGGGAAATAAATGTTTTAACAAACCACTTGCGATAGAGGCTGATACCCTAAGGACAAGCTTAGCAGTGGAGGGTCTCCAAACACAGAGTGGATGACATTGTGAGATTTCATGTAGGGACAAATAAAGAAAGCCAGGAGGCTGGGGACCCTGTGGTAGTGGTGGAGAGAATGATAACCCTCCCACCCCAGTCTAAGGAAAAACAATGTCTAATAAGGATCTTTTAAGGCTTTTATCTTTTAATTTTTAAACAAGACATGTATAATGTAATTCTCGGCTACTTAATGTCCTGTAACGACTTCAGTACACTCGACATTGATTGGATTCTGTCAGGAGAGTTGAAGAGGTGCTGAATTTTGCATCTGGGTGATATGGATAGAAAACAGAGAGCATGTGCAGACCCCCCCGCTCCCCAGCTGACATGTTCTGTTTCTTGACATCTTTTAATAGCAAAGATACATTATTAAAATGTTTCTTTGGGAGATGTACAAACTTCATGGATAGCTCTACCTAAAATGGCACTTTCCTCCAAAGGGTTAAGTTACAAGAGAAAGGAGGATGCGTGAGTTCATTGAAAAATACTTATTGAGTGCTTACTCTGTGCACAGTGACTTTCTTTGAGTTGTTCACAGAGAATTATGCAGATTTTGAGAAGTTTAGGAGTAATCTTGAAATAAATCAAAGCAATTCTCACTAACTTATTGTGCTAAAACATATGGTGTGATTCCTTCAGATTTTGTGCTCTTACTTTTTTTAGGGCACACAGAAAAGGAGATGGTGTTGGGAATGGGGTATTAAGAGCAGGTCTGTTTTCTGCATTCATATGGAAACCTCTGCAGAAAGAAAACTAAACCACCTAAGATATCTAGCACATCAGATTCTGCCTCCATATTTTTCGCTTGTGGCCAGGCGGAACAGGTGGAAGTTTCTTGAATCAGCTGGCCCTAATTCCTGTTGCTTTCACTTTGACTGAGGCCAGCATTGATGGTACCTCAGGAGAGGCAGTTGGTTGAAGTTGGTGTTAGGATCCTATTGTGGCAAATAAGGGATGCAGAATTCCCTCAAAAGTTTCTATTTGCATTTTAATGTGCAATGCTAAGTGAGAATGAACATCTACAAGGCTCAGGGCATCTGATACATCAGAATGGCATGGCAGCATTGAGGTGGCCCTCCATCCTGGCATGAATACAAAATGATTTGTCAATATCACAATAAGTAGCATCAGCAAGGTGACCTCCATCTTGGCATGAACGTGAGATACATTTATTGTCTTTGGTAGCAGGAAGTCAGTGTAACCAGAACATAAAGGCATCCTTTTAATCAGCCACAACCACCACAACCACCACAGTAGAGGCCACAGGTCAACAGTTATTGACCATGCAACATTTACCAGGCACTCTCTACTTTTGGTTTTCACAGCAACCCAACAAGTAGGTGTGGCCATCTCCAGTTTGCATTTGAGGAAACTGAGGTTCAGTGAGACAATCTGCCTAAGAACACAGTATGGGGGAGCCCAGAGCAGCTCATCCAAGGACAGACATCTAGAGTAAGGCAAAGGCTGTGTTGTTAAAAACAACACAAACACTGCATGCCCGTGTCTGGACAGAAACCATCTTTAAATGATCTGCTCTTTCCATGATGTGGAAATCTCAGTTGAGGCAGTGGGTATTTTAATAAGAAACTAACCTAATGGACAATAATTTCCATTTATTACTCTGAGGTATTTTCAGGATTTTAATGTGTATCAAAGGTGATGGGAGAGAGACGGACCTCAGTGCTTTGCCTCTTAAAAAGAAGTTTCTCTTGATGTACCTCTTTTGATACTAGATGCTTAGGGATTTTTGTTTATTTATTTTTTGAAGAAAAGTATAAAAAAATAACGAAGGGAACAGTGTTTCTGTATCTTCTGTAAAAACAGGGTTGAAGACATTATCCCCTGTTTTCTACTACTGACTGTATAAGATCCATGAAATGAATTCTTCTGTAATTTAATACCAGGAAAATGTTTGTCTCTCTTAGAAAAACAAGCAAGTTTGCTTTAATCAGATAAGGAGAATTATCTAGCCCATATTCCCTTTTCTCAGAAACTAAGAGCTAAAATTCAGTGTTCAAGGACAGAAATTACATTAAATGGTTGATACCGTCCAGTAGAAATATAACATGGGCCACGTATTTGATTTTTTCCACATATGTGATTTAAAATTTTTAGTGGCTAACCTGAAAAGTAAAAAGAAGTGAGTGAAACAAATTTTAATAACACATTGTATAGAGCCTAGTATACCTAAAATATTATCATTTCAAGATGTAATTAAAGTAAAATCAATATGTCAATATAAAATATGAGTTATTTTATATTCTTTTTTTTTAAATGAAGTCTTTAAAATTTAGTATGTGTTTTAGACTTACAGCACATTTCAACTTCCATGAGCCACTTCTCAAGGGCTCAAAAACCACATGTGGCTAGTGACTCCCATATTGGACAGTGGGTCTTGATAACTGGTAGCCACTCAGATTGTGTGTATGTGTGTTGCTTCCCTTTTTCTATTTTCATAGGATTTTTACATATCTCTTCTACGATGAATTACTTCCATACTCTATTAGAAGTTTTCAGGATATGACCTCTAGGTAAACAAATATGTGAATAAACAAACACATACACATCACTACAACAGAAATTTAGAAGTTTTAGGCCAAGCTTTGCCTGAACCATTGTGTAACTATGTAATTGTAATTGTGTAATTGTGTAAATGTCTTGAGCTTTTGGCTTCCTCCCTGAAGAAGTGGCAGCAGTTCACCTCGATGGCTTCTACGACTATTCTAATTCTAAGAAATAGTGATGCTGTTGCTTTTTAAAACCCAACTACTGGGGTGCCTGGGTGGCTCAGTTGGTTAAGCGACTGCCTTCGGCTCAGGTCATGGTCCTGGAGTCCCAGGATCGAGTCCCGCATCAGGCTCCCTGCTCGGCAGGGAGTCTGCTTCTCCCTCTGACCCTCTTCCCTCTCGTGCTCTCTATCTCTCATTCTCTCTCTCAAATAAATAAATAAAATCTTAAAAAAAATAAAAAAATAAAACCCAACTACTGGGTTTTGATTGTGCCGTTAAGTTAAGCACATATTCAATTGTATGCCACAACGTGGATCTGAAATTGCCTCTTACACCTCTCTCTAACCTAGCATCAATCTAGGATTATTCCATAAGGAAGTGAAAGAAAGGGTGGAATAGAGCCTATCTGACTCAGCTCAGTGGCAGGTGGCTTGCATGATCACGTAGTTCCCTGCATTGCCATGCTAGCTACTTATGGGTGATAACAGCAAAGGTCGTGGTCACTGCTGTGTCCCCAGGGCACACAGTAGGCACTCAATAAATGTTGGTTGAATGAATGTGTGAGAGACACTTCTCCTTGTCAAGGTCCGGGTACATGGGGCTATGGGGACTCCTAGACCCAAACACAAGGGTTACCTGTACAAGCCTCTGTGGGTTTCAGCAAAGGCAGCTCTTTTGTAACAAGTCACCTCTTCAACTAGGTTCTAGAACACAGCAAAACTGTATACCTGCCGGGTTGGCAGCTGTAGTATGGGAAGTCAGCCAACTGGTATTGGGCCCATAGGCCAGAACCCAAGGGTAGGACTTCCTGCAATATCTATTCTTAGGAGGCAGGCAAATAAAGAAATTTAGTCCACAAGCAAAACCGAGCTGAGGTGGCCTTCCTTCTTGCCCTGGATCCAAAATATGGTGTAAAATACCGAGAAATCCACGTAAAGGACTCTTTTCCTTCATACTATGAAACAAACCAGAAATACTCAACTTACTTTTTCTTACTGTCCTTTTTGGCTGTCTTTTCCAAAGCTGCCCTCCTTCTAAAGTAGTCATTCTGAATCTCATTATACTTTGTAGTGTGTTCTTTGATTAGGTCAGTGGTTTTCTTGTGGTGTCTTTTAACCAGGTCTTTCATTTCTTTGTAGTGCTTCTTTTGAAGTTTCACAAACGATTTCTGCTGCTTTAGCTCTTCGATGGTCTGGGCTTCCACTTCTGCAACAAATGAGTATAAGAGCTAACAGACGTGGAAGGACTGCAAACACAGATGTAAAGAGGAGTAGCAACCTGCTTCTCAGGCAATATTTGTTTGATCCCAGCCAACTGGAGCTTCTGAGCAGAGCTTGGATGTCAAACGTATCTTGGTTCCAGGCTGGCACTTGCTAACTTCTGTGATTCCGTCACCGAATTTCTCAAAGACCCAGTTTCTTAACTCATAATTTTTTTGGAAAGTTTGGCTTCCCTAGAAACAGAGCCTGAGAGAGGGGGATTCGAGTGTATGTGATTTACTGAGAAGGGCTCAGGGGGAGGAAGAGAGTGCAGCAGACAAGGAAGGGGAAGGAGCTGAGCAATGGTATGGTCTCCGCAGGAGCCTGGCTTCTGCCTGTGGGTGGGAGCTCTGGAGGATGACAGAGTGGGTCTCACCTTGAGGCAAGAAGACCAGCCTTTTGCACATTGAGAAGGTCAGGGAGGGAAGGCATAACTCCCTAGTGAGGGGGTCTTCCTCTGGGCTTAGGGCAATTTTCAAGAGAAAGGGAAGCTATGAGCTGTTAGCAGCAACTCTCAACCACAGCTGGGGCATGGGTGCACCAGATGGGAAAGGGATGGGCACCAACAGGATCCACTTTAAGGACCTCAATATTTCCACTACTTGTTAGGGTTGTTGTGATGACGAAATGAAAGAATCATGCAAAGTACTGAACACACTTTCTGGCAGTGTGCCTGTTGAGGCTTAACAAATGATCATACATACAGCACTGTCTCGAAGGGCACTCTTCACACCATAGACTTTGTAGGTCTGGATTTATCACAACAGTGTTGCAGGAAAAAGCACCGTAGTGGGGCGCGGGCCCCTTGATGGGATTTGCCCAAAGGCACCATCAGGGTTAGTGGTAGCATCCATTACTATGAGGTATTTAATCCAGTGCTTAGAAAACATGTAATGTGACAGACCTGGACCCTAAAACTTTCTGTATTTTACCAACATAGTTCATCAATTCTAGAATACGCATTTTAAAGTACGTGAACATTTCTGAAATTAAGATGCTTTGTACAATCACAACTTGTTGGTGCTTTTCTTTCTTAGCAATCCATGAATAGTGGGGTGCCTTCAAATTGATGGTGTCTTAACTTCAATGAATTATCATTTGTTTGGACCTAACTTAAGTCACAGTTCACATGTTTCCATCCTTTTGTTTGAACTTTCTGCTTCTGGGAACAAAAATATGTTATCATAAATATTTAGAACTGTCAGGAGATTCAGAAATAATATATGCCATGAACAACAACAGACCTGAATAGAAATGAGTAATCTAGTGGATAAACACTGAAATCAGAATAATAATTCATGTGCTTCAATGCTAAGGTCGTTAGGCAATTGAAACATGTTCCCCTTTTTTATAATGTATCTATTCTCCTGACATTCGATTCCTTTTGAGAAAGAGGCCAGGAAGAGAATCAGGTACATTTATCTAATGGTTTCCCTCAGGCCTAAATGGACTCATTATGGTTGCATAATAACTTATACTAAGAATTTATAAGCCTAAGGAATTGCTACATTTTGGGTATCAGATTCAATCCCACTTCATTAAAATGGTATAGAGCACTCCAGCAACAGCAGGTTTAGCAAGAGGGTTCAAGATATTCCAACCTACGATTAAAAAAAAAAAAAAAAATTCCACAGAAAGTACTATTTTTTTTAAAAGTCTGGGATAAAAGACTATTCTTTGAATAGGCTCTTAAGCATAAAGGGAATGTTCATTTACATGAAGAAACAAGTATCACTCATAAACAAGCCACCCAGAGATCCTCACTGCTAATAACTTTGGTTCATATCCACTGCCTTTTTCCTACACATTTATGTATTTTAAAATAACATTGGACTGTCTCTTGTTTTATGTGTTAACATTATATTGTTGCCCATGGAATTAAATCTTTTAGAACATGTTTTAATACATTCCTCAAGTAATTATTTGATGCAGATTTTACATATTGGTGAAATATACACACATAAAAGCACATAAATCATAAATCCACCCCCCTATACATTTTCCCAGAGCGAACAGACTTTCGTAACCACCACTCAGATCAAGATCAGACTATTATCAGTGCCCCGGAGATCCTCTTTTTGGGTTTTGCATTCTCTCTCCCCTCCCAAGTATAATCCGAATCCATGTTTCTAACAGACAGATTCATTTTGCCTGTTTTTAGCTGTACGTAGCAGGAATTACAAAGAATGTGCTCTCTTGTGTCTGGCCTCTTTCCCCCCACATTGCGCATGTGAATTTTATCCATGTTGTGTATGATCATAGCTTATTTATCCCTACAGCTGTACCCTATTTTATTCTGTGACTACACCACAATTTATTTATCTACACTACTGTTTATAGACATCTGGGTGGTTTATAGTTTTTGGCTATCACCAAGAGTGCTGCTTTTGGTGAACATGTGTTTGCCTTTCTTCTATGCATTGGGCCAAATATTGTAAACATTTCGAAGATTCTGCTACATGCTGCTCGTTGTATTAAAGAAATCATGTACCAATTTTGGTCCCACTAGTTTAAGGAATTAACCAAGTATAAATTATTTTCCAATGGGATCATAGTTCTTAACATTCTGTATTTTGTGGTCCCAAATGGTTCACATTCTGCATTTCTAAAATACGGCTAATTATCGGCACTTTGGGAAGGTGTGTATTCCTGTTCCCTGGGTCATATTTCCAGTATGAAACTATCCTTTGATTCTAATATCGATATCTTATGAAATTTTATTATTTTATACAAATAGAGTCCTATCCACCAAATATGGTTACTTCTCTGTGATGACATGATTACATTGTGTAATGTGGCTCGAACTAGGATTATTTATCTGTGCCTGTTTTCAGAAAAGAAATATTAATGATGTTATTTTTCAGAGATGAGGGGAAATCTCTCTCTAAATACTTATGCTGTCTAATATTCACCTGCCTAATTCCATGGGGGAAGAGGGTGGCATTTACCTGTTAAAACACTCTGAATAAGATCTTCTGTTTTGGCAGGTGCCTTTACAGAACCTGAAATAAAGAGACAAAAGAAATAGCCTCCTTTAACTTAAAAAAAATTGTGTTCTTCCCGTAAAACAACTAAGTTTGGCCCTTGAGTCTAAGTCTCTTTATGGAGAAATAAATTCTAGGAGAAAATCATTCGCAAAAAAACCCCCTTGGAAGCAATGTCTTCATTTTGTTACTTGGAGGCAAACCTAATTAAATGGAAGTCTATATGCTCCATTTACAGACAGAAAGGACGTCCCTCCACTTTGAATCAAAACGGTCAACAAATTCCATTTTAACAATGCTACTGCCACCTTTTGGCAAGATCAGGAATGGCAAGTGGACTTTTAAAAAAATCAAACGGGGACCTGCAGGCAATAATAACTGAGGCAGGCAAGATCCACTGGGCGATACCAAAATTATCAGATAAGTTGAAGGAAAAAAAGGATATTTTCATAGTCTCAAAGCATCTCCCCCAAGACCACTATTATCTATAAAGGGGAAATGAGAACTTTCAGTTTAAAAACCTGGCCGGCTCCACCTCAACCAAGGGCTCCAACATCGCGGATGATGAGAAATACTAACATCAGGTACCCCTGATATGATGCAGTGAGAAGGACAGTTTTGTCTCTGTGATATTCTCACCCAAAATGCAAAACTCCACTCTAATCGTGAGAAAACATCAGACAAACCCAAACTGAGGGATATTGCACAAAAGAACTGACCAGTACTCTTCAAAAGTGTCAAGGTCATAAAAGACAGGACAGACTGAAGGACTGTCATAGATTCAGGGAGACTAAGGAGACATGACAATTAAACACAATGTGGGATCCTAAGTTGGAACCTGGAGCCATAAGAAGACATTAGTAAATGGGCGTCTGGGTGGCTTAGTTGGTTAAGTGTTGGACTCTTAATTTCAGCTCAGGTCTTGATCTCAGGGTCATGAGTTCAAGCGCCACATTGAGCTCCATGCTGGGCATGGAGCCTACTTAAAAAAAAAAAAAGACATTAGTAGAAAGCAGGTGGAGTTCAAATGAGGTCTGTACTTCGGTTCCAAGTACTGTGCCAACGTTAATTTCCTGGTGTGATAACAGCACAATGATTCTGACAGATGTTAACACTAGGGAAGAAGAGATCAGTTTTGTGATTCTGTGCCATTTTTTTTTTAAAGATTTTATTTATTTATTAGAGAGAGAGAATGAGAGATAGAGAGCACGAGAGGGAAGAGGCTCAGAGGGAGAAGCAGACTCCCCGCCGAGCAGGGAGCCCGATGTGGGACTCGATCCTGGGACTCCAGGATCATGACCTGAGCCGAAGGCAGTCGCTTAACCAACTGAGCCACCCAGGCGCCCGATTCTGTGCCATTTTTAAAAGTGATTCTGTAAGTCAAATTATTTCAAAACATCAAGTTAAAAAAATCAAGTGCTAAAATGCCAAATTTTCTTTTACTCTTCAAAGCACAAGACTATATTTACTCACATATTTAAATGACTTATTTATATTCCAGAAGCACTCAAAATGTTTGTATTTGGTATACAAAACTCTTCATTTGAAAATATCACTCTTTATGATCAAATCATCTTCTTACTGTTATTGATCTCAACAACCTTCTTAAGAGCACAGGCCCCAGTTCATGCACACTTGATACAAATTCAAAATGATTTGTTCTTTTAAAAATCTTACTCTCCCTCATGAAAAATGCCCTTTCCCTTCCAAACAAAAAAAAATCTGGATTTCGTCACTGCCATGCTGTAGTAGGACGAGGAAGGAAGGAGACAAGGAAGACATAACTTCATGGAAGGAAATTCTTCTCCCTTTTCTTTACTTTATATTAACCCATTCAACAAAAAGTGATCCAGGACACGCTATTCCTCAGGTCTGTGCAAAGGAAGCATGAAACTGAAGCCTGGGGAGCCTACCATCTACTGGGGAAAGGGGACATACATAGGAGAGAGGACTGCCTAAAGCAGTCTTAGATCAAAGGTCAAAGTTAGCTGCACAGAAACGAAAGGATTTTTCTAAGGAGTGAGACACGAGTGGACCTTTGGTAGGAATAGAGTTGAAAGCAAGAACTGGGATCACAGGGAACTGTGTCCATCCTGACTTCCTCCTTCACTAGCTATGTGGCCTTCAGGAAGTACTTCATCTAAAAACCACTTTCTTCCTCTGCCCAATGGGGACAATGACAGAAGCTGCCCTCATAGCCCTGGCATGAGGGTGAAATGAGTCAATCCACTTGAAGGGCTGAAAAGAGTGCTCAGCACATGGTGGACACCTAAGGCCATTGAAAATTCAGTTGGAGAAAGATGGAAAGGAATTCTTGGCAGAGACTGGAAGAGTAAAGGAGAGCTAAGAACGTGCTTGTCAAGCAGAGCTCTTTATAAGTTGCATGAAGAGCCCTTCACAAACCCTGTCCCCACATGGATTATAACTGATCACTAAATAGACATGGAGATCTGAGCGATGGTTTGTTGTAGGTTCATAAATTATCATCAGAACCAGATGAGCACTCATGAATCTCTCTTGGCATTCATTCATTCATTCCACATTTCTGGAGCTCCTCCTATGTCCTTGCATCTTTGCTCATGCTATCTCTTTGAGTGGCACAAATAAACTGGAGGCTCTTAGTCATGTCACATAACTCTCTTTTCAGAGTGTTTACCTGGAGCTGGTTGGCTGTGGAGAGCCTGGGAGGGTGGTTTGGGTGCCAGGGATGTAGTGTGATTCACTCCGTTTTCTGCTGGAGTTGTCCTGGCTTCACTTGGAGCTTCTGACGGTGTTTCCCCAGGATCAGTCTAGAATCATAAACATCATTTCATTTTCCACATTTTCTACTGTTCTTTTATGACCTTCCTAAGCCAACAAGCCTACATTTGATTTAGCATTTTCACAACTCATCTGGGGTCTGAAATACCAAATTGAAACTGTCTGGAAAGCAGGGTAAAAATAGCATGGTGTTGAGCCATGACCCCAGTAGGTTAATTATATTAAAAAGCCCCGATCTGTACACCTTTCAATGCCCATGCCCCTTTGTAGTGCCCTCCCACATGGATATAACCATGTGATTTGCTTTGGTCAAATGAGACAGCAGCAAATTTGCTGCAAGTAGAAGACTGAAAAAGTACTTGCGAATTTTCCCTCTTTCTCAGACCCCTGCTACAGCTGTGGAGGATGAGACACCATATAGAGGAGAGCTGGGTCATCTAGGTAAGGATCTCTTAGGCCAGTCAGGCCCAGCTGACCACAAACACATGAGGGAGCTACCTAGCTAACCAAATGACTCATGAAAAATAGTGAGTCACTGTTGATGTTGTAAGCCACTGAATTTGGGAGTTGTTTGTTATGCAGCAGTAGCTAACTGGTACAGTGGTTTCAAGCAGAGATTTTGGAGTCAAACCTTACCTGGGGTCAAAATCTGGCCTTGCCACTTATCTTAAAGATTTATTTACTTATATAAGACAGAGGGCAGGGGATAAGCAGGAGGAACAGAGGGACAGGGAGAAAAAAATCCCAAGCAGACTCTGTGCTAAGCACAGAGCTCAATGCGGGGCTCGATCTCACAACCTTGAGATCACAATCTGAGCCAAAACCAAGAGTCAGATGCTCAATGGACTGCATACCCAGGCACCCCTGGCCTTGCCACTTGTTAGCAGTGTAGTATTGGGCAAGTCACTTACCTCTCTGCCTCAATTTCCTCATATTTATAGATGAAGATGTGTCTGTAGTGGGTGTCATAATATTATGTACACTGTAAGGTTGTTTAAAGGATCAAATAAGTTAACAGTTATAAAATGCTTAGAAAATTCCTGGCACAGAGTGAATAGGTATGTCTAAAATAAATAAAGCTTTTAAGTTTGTACAATACTACCAGTGAATAATAATAATAAATGCACTGGAATTTATGAAATCTCCACTCCATTCCTTCCAGCAGCTAGTCCACTGTGTTCTATGTAGAATAAATGTTAGTAAATGTTTGTTGAATAAGCATTGGTCTTTATAAAATAATTGCCTCAGTAGTCATCACATACCATTGCAATGATGCATTTCAATTCTGAAATGCCCTGCAACACTTTTCTTAGAATTACCATCCGGGTTCATGGCAGACATTACTGACAATGGCTATCCCAATGTTCTACTTGGTAGTACATAAAAAAATATATATTAGGAAATAGCTAGAAGTCATTTGGAGCCCAACCTTGTGATATTTTGTCATGTAATTACAGACAGCAGAAGGTCATATGAAAACATTTTTATGAAATGTAAGATGAGAATGATCGTCACAAGTGGCTTTGACTCTGTCCCCAAAAAGCATCGTTAAAACATGAGTTCCAAAACTGCTTCCCATGATGGCAGAACTTATTTCAATTCAACAAATCACCCTTACTTATCTACCATGGCCTGCTCATGGCTAGTGGTATTGAAGTGCAAGCGATGAGCCCTGGGACGCGTGGCTGGGAATGAAGTGGGGAAGGCAGGAACCTAAAGGGGGAAATGAGCCAGCCTACGGAACTCACCATGGTAGAACACTGCCTTTTGAAAAAAAATGGCGACTTTGGATGGGTAGGTCCTACTCTGCTTGCATTCTTAAGTTACATCCTTCAGGAAAATTCTCCCTAGAAGCATTATGCCAAAGGGAGGGATTCCATATTTTTTGTTCACCAAGAAATTGCAAAGTGGGGGTGCCTGGCTGGCTCAGTCAGAGGAGCATGTGACTCTTGATCTCGGGTTGTGAGTTCGAGCCCCACACTGGGGTTAGAGATTACTTAAGTAAATAAAACTTAAAAAAAAATTGTAAACTGGAGGCATGGGGTCCAAACATAGCACACGGAAATGTTTTCTTTGGCTCACCCAAGGTTGCCAAAGATTTTAATGAAAGAGATTTTATGTTAATAAAACGAATTTCTTGCTTTTCTTGAAAAATCAGATTGGCAATGCTGGGCCTGCATTCCCCACGCTGGGCTTGAATGGAGTGGTTTCTATCCCTCTTAGGATGATTTCCTCTTTACTCATTTAGGCTTTACCTGTCTCACTCCTGCAGGCATTTGGGTTTGTGGGACACTTGAGAAGAAATATCATAGATATTTGGCCACAAAATTCATAAAGGAGTTGCATGTACGTTGCAAAGGATGGACTGAAGTAAAGGGAATGTGGGAAAGGGCCCTGGGACATCAGCAGAGTCATCAACTGGGCCTGGTCCTCTGGGTAAAGTAAGGTAAGAGAAAGCTTCCCAGCCTTCCCAGCCTCCCAGCCTCCCAGCCTGCGGTCACCAAACTCAGCTGCCTGGGACACGAGAAGAGGGTACTCCTGTTCCATTGGCATCCGACCTTCCCCATCTATATCCAGGCAGGTTTCTGGAACCATGTGGGAGATAAATCACATTTTTTCTCAATGTGACAGCTGGCTAAAATTAGTCCTCTGCAGAAAGATAGGGTAAAAGAAAATTCTGACGGAGGAAAAAAGAGGTGATGGCAGGCTAGCTTTCAAGAAGGCAATAGTATGTGGTTTTTTTGGCAACCAAACTTAGTGTCTTGGGGTTATCAGGCTGGAAGTGTGTTCAAAATGAATCCAGCAAGCCTATTTTCGCCTTGTATCAGGTTTGCAGGCATTCCATGTAGTTGTACACCCTTGGGAAGCCAGGTTCAATCATCAACTTGAGGCAGGTTGAAGGAAAAATAAATCTCTGCTTATCAAGGTTATGCAAGACAAAGCCCTACATCCCAGAAACTGACATAATGTATCAATTCAGAGAGATTTTTTTTTAAGGCAGATAAATGTTGAATAAACATACAGGCAAACATGTTACAGTTATAACTGAGGATAAAGATACCACCAAGTTTTGGTGCTGGATTTTGAGGTAAGCTTCCTGCCTCCAGGAAGGTGGATTGCACTGCAGAACTCCAGGGGGCGCTATTCACACTGTACAGTCTTTTGTTTTAAAGATTTTATTTTTAAGTATCTCTGTACGCAGCGTGGGGCTTGAACCCACAACCCCGAGATCAAGAGTCGCACACCCCACCGACTGAGCCAACCAGGCGCCCCTCAGACTGTACATGAATAGGCTGTTAATGGAAAAGATGGAAATGAACAAACTGACCAGACTTAACACAACAGGGCAAAGTGGGGCCATGGCCAGAGTTGGAGTGGGAGCTCCCGGAAAGGGGCGGCTGCCACTCAGCTTCAGCCTGTTATTGCCCAGGCTTCAAGAAAAGCTGGAAAACGAATTTTGTGTGTGTGTATGTGGGAAAGCTCCTAATTTTAAATCACTGAGGCCAAACAAAGCACATCTTCGGACCACATTTGGCCCAGAAGCTGCCCATCTGTACGCTCTGCTCAGAGGAGCAGGGTTTGTTTAGAATTCGGAGACTGTATCAGGGTGAGCAATGCACCCACAGCAATGGTGGCGCGAGAGGGGCATGCTGGGAAATGCAGTGGGCCAAATGACCGGCAGCCCGCCACGCCCCACCTCCTCGCCCCCGGGGCCCAACAAAGGTGGAGAACAAAGGGTGAGTGACGAGGGCTGAATGCTGGGCTAAGGAATCTGGGGGCTCCTCCACAGTTTTTTCTTTTTCTTTTTTTTTTGCTTGATACTTGTCAGGTGTCTCTTATGATATTCCGGAAACAAATTTTATTTATTAATTTAGTGAGAATCTATGATGGCAAATATATCAGACTGATATTTAAAATACTATGTTAACCAAGGGCAGTAGGTACAAATTCTAATCGACTGTTCCCTCATGGAGAGTGCTTATAGAAGCAGCTGTAGATCAGCGAGTGCTAGATGGTGTTAGACACACCAGCCTCAGTGCAATGCCTGCGTCGGCTGCCTCCTCAACTCCACTATAAAGCAAAGAAATCCAAGGTGTTATTAAAGGTCTTTACTAGGGGCTCCTGGGTGGCTTAGTTGGTTAAGCATCTGCCTTTGGCTCAGGTCATGATCCCAGGGTCCCTGCTCAGCGGGGAGTCTGCTTCTCCCTCTCCCCCTCTGTGCTCTCTCTTTTTCTCTCTCTCTCAAATAAATGGATAAATAAATCTTTAAAAAAAGGTCTTTACTAAAGACTTCATTAAAAGTCATATAACTTGCTAGAGGCCACCCAGTTAATAGCAGGATTGGCGTTCGAATATGTGTTGGAATCTAAAGTCTGAATTTCACGGCTGCCCTACTTCACTCTGAATTCTATGCTAATAGCAACTTTTTAAGGAACCACAAAGGTAACTTAATTTGCAGCTGAAATTTAGAGATGTATAAATGTGAACATCATTCTCAAAGAGTTTACTCTGTTACACTAAAAAGGCATTCATAAATAAAAAGCTAAATGAGTTAAATAGAACAGCTAAACACAAGAACTGAAAAACAAAAAATGCCTATAGTAGTAATAAAATACTAGAAGAAAGGTGTTGACATTATCACTGAAAGGTTGAATAATTCCCCTTTATAGATATGCGAGCTGAAATGCAAAAACCAAATTCCTTGTCCAGATCAAAAGAATCAGTGGGGATCAACCCCTGTGGCTTTATTTCTGCCTAGCCTTTGCTCAAATATTCTTTTTTGAGTTGAAATAAAATAAGCATGAAATACTTTCATATTTTACTGCAAATTGCGATAGAAACAAAAGAACAAGAAATTTCAGTTTTCTCAATTTAATGGAGAGCTTCCTGCGATCCAATTAAATAAATTTCAAGGAAAGAAGGTTCAGAAGATAGTATGTTAATTGCACTAGATTTTGCTTAGTTAGGTGGAGAAAATTGTGCAGAATGAACTACAGTAGTAGGTGCCTGCCCTCTAGTGGCCAAATAG